CTTGTGTGATTTACGAACTTTATAGGGAACTCCCGTATACAAAACTATATTACAATAGCATTCTATCTTTAAAAACTATAAATGGTTGTAATGCATGTATAAACTAAACATTTTTCCTAGATTTAATGTATATGTGTCTATCTTAGACTCTACAAAAATCTATGCTTTGATAACAAGTTATTCCTTTTCTAGATATTCTAAAACAAACGAGGCACACTTTTAGAAAACCATAATAGGTATAGTTTTATAAGGATATTGCTAACTTTTACATACTAGAAACACGATTTTCAAGAAATCACTTTCATGTACAATAACAAACGAACATTTCAAAACGTAAATCTGTTTTTATACTACGGTTCTGTGAGACAATTATTTCACGTACGTTCGAGTACACATTTCAAGTCCTGTATTATATACCAGAATCCCTTGGAGGGGGAGCATGGTGTTTGTGTATAGATCTATACGGGCTTGACAACCCGCGCCCTGACTGTTAGCTACAGTCCACCGTTTGGGGTGACAAACGTCATAACATTCCAACGCCTGAAGAACGTTGTGTATAGGCATTCCGAGTCAATAGTATGGTTATAAAGCTCACAGGAGGTATTAAAAATACATTGATTTACGAGGTTTTCAAACATATTGGTTACTTTTACACTTACGTACATTTTAGAAACAAAATTTGGTCTGGAAGGAAGACTACTTTTATACTAGTAGAAAATGCAGGATTTTCTAAACACAAACAAATAAGGACAAGATATTTCGTTTCATACAAACATTGTCATTAAATACTTATGAAACTCACCAGCTTAAATGCTGATCTACTCTTTCAAAATTACTTGTATGTCCCAGGGATTCAGTAACTACAGGTATCATTATGCTTTTGATGAAGAGATGTTGCGGCGCCAGTTTAATCTCATATTTTGACATCATATTTGTAATTGGTTTTGAACATGTAACTTTTGACAAATGTAAACTTTCAATTATATATATATATATATATATATATATATATATATATATATATATATATATATATATATGATGGTTGTATTGCTTTCTTTACTATGTATTCACTTGTTACGCTACCACATGAAGTCATCTGCCCCCGAACGTTTCCGCCGTTCAGGTTTGGGGGTGTGACAGTGTGAGAAAACATTTTCAATACTAATTGCATGGGCCCTATCAGTTACAAAGTTCAAATCTTGAAAATCACCAATGCATTCATACAGATTTTCAAGAAACCATGTCCAAGTAATACCACTCTCTTTTTTGCATATTCTGTGCGCAAGGGACACTATCTGGTTGTTCCCATCCATACCTACTTCAAGCAATATGGTTCCCTTAAACCCCCCCCCCCCCCTTCAAATGGGCACCGTCAATAAAATTTACAACAAAAACGTTTGAACACTCGAATCTGTAATATATTTAAATTGAACACATAAACACTAAACATTTTTTACAAATAAGTATATATTAAATAACAATAAGTTTTTTGTATGCACCGTGCTCCTAATGGCATGAAAACAACACTCGAAACAATCTTCAAAATTTGTTTGTATATAGGCCATTGTACCGAGATTATGCTTCTTCAAATTGTGAAAATAAATAGGAAGTTTGGAAAAACATTCTTCAGAGGATCCCAACAACAGTTCCATAGCATATTGTTTTGCACGCTAAGAATGTTTGTAACTTACATTGATTTCCAACAAAGCATTTAAATCCCTTGATATTTCATTAGGCCTCCAAACCTTCGAACGAGTTTTTCCTATAATCTCATGCAATATAGTATCCATGAATTTTTTATTTGCGTGCTTATGATTTGGGTGTATCTGTAATGACGAACATGTGTGCACGTTGTTGAAAGTCCAAATTTCAAATTCATCAGTCAGATCAATGCGTTTTGCATAAACCCCAACTATAGTTCTCAATTTCACAATATACCTCATAATGGTTTTTGTTAAAATGTTTGGTCTTAAACTGAAACTTTTCTCTAGTTGCTTTAAGACTCAAAGCCAATATTAGTTGTTGTTTGTTATCATACATTTGACGAACAAACATATCATCATTTGGACCTAAACTATGAAATGGTACAGGTTCAACAATAGGATCAGGACAATGAAGGCATACCGTAAAAGATATCTGAAGTTTTTTTTCTGTGTGTAAACTCATTTTCAGACCCACCATTTGAGTCTTCATCATCTGACAAACTTTTGTCATGCAGTCTTCCAAACTCATATAAATTTTCTTCTTCCACCATATTCAATACCACAATTTCTTTTTGAGGACACTCTTCAACATTATCAGATACAATGTTTTCAACATTGTATGGTACAATCTTGTCAACCGCTTTTTTCTATTCAATCCATCCCTCAAAAACTTCCAAATAAAATGCACAATCTCATTCGTTTCAGACATTACATTTTCTAAGTTGTTGAACATTTGCTCCGTCTATAATATTCATAACATACTCATGAACCGGGTGTTGAAATGAAAATAATATATTACTATTGAATGTATTAGCCTTACTTTTAACCAAATCAAACAATATTCGATGGTCAAAATTAAGCGAAAGCAGTAACCTAAGTTGTTATATTTTGTTCTAACGTAGGTGTTAATTCCATTACTCATTTGCCAAAATCCCCCATACATAAAATAACAAAACTCATATTTTATTAGAAAAAAATTGGAACCATAAAACCGATTGAATATGGCAGATACATAAAAAAAATGAACAAAATCAATCATTTATATAAAAAACCGGCTAAAATTTTGGTTAACAAACCATTCCATGGAGATGTTAAAGCCTCCGCGGAGCCCTCTTAACGATATATGTGGAGGGTTTAATTAATATACAAACAAATCACTCCGCTCAGGTCTTAATGTCTCCACGGAGGTATCTATGCGGACAACATTTTCAGACGGAAAAAGGATGACATCTTATAGTTCTGCAGAGGATTTGTCATTCCACGGAGCCTCATGGAGGGTCCTCTACGGAATGCATGTCTATAGCCGAGAAGGTGATTTTTCATGACTAAAATTTGAAATGCCCCTCCTCAAATTGTTCATTTCAGATAGATCCTTTTTAGCATCGAGTTTTTGCTTCAGAGAATATAAAAGGCTTCTTCCTATTCTTTGTCTTTCCATTTAAAGAAGCTACATTTCTTCAACCTAGTCTGTAAAATGCCAATCAATTAATTAATGAAAATGCTTTGACTTGGATACTAAATGAAGATTAAGGAAATCAGCTACCTTTAATGTACTAACGAAATGGGTTTGATTCATAATCACAAATATTTGTCAAGAAGAAATACAATTAGGGTTTTTTTTTCAAAATACAAATCTACCATGATTGTCTTTACACGAAGAACCGCCACAGTCAAACACCATAATACTAAGGTAGCATGATCAGGATTATCGGGACCTACCAAATTGTTTTGACAATTCCATAAATGTCTCCCAGGGTTTGTTATCTTCCAACACGTTCGTTCTTTAACTGGAACGCCACAATCGCAAAGCTTTACCTTTAGGGAATTTTAGGGTTTGTGGTGGAGATCTGGATACCAACTTCGATCGTGATATCACTTTCTGAACTAATAATTCTATCCTATGTCTGGGTTACAAGAAATTCGGCCTAGGATAATCCAAGTGGACACTTACGATTCTAGGGACGGAAATCGTAAGCCAATATGCTAGAGGATTCTTTCAAGTATGATGAAAACAAGAGCTTAAGATCGTAACCCTCTTCTGAAGAGGAAGAATTTTTTATATATTAAACGAGATTAGGGTTTCATTAGGGTTGGGTCGTCATTAGTTGCTTTGGAAGCAAGTAATGTTAATCCAGATTTAATGAGGATTTAGGGTTACCAAAACTAACGAGCTTCATTAGTTTTACCATAATCACCCTCAAGAAATTGAATTTCCACTATGTTCCCATATGTAACATTCGGTGAGGTTTTGGGGCGCTGCCCCAAACCCTGCAGGGGCTTTACCGTTGGAACCCGCTAGGAGCGCTGCCCCTAGACCTAGCCAAAGGGGCGTTGTCCCTAAACCCCGCAAAAGGGGCGTTGCCCCTTTGGAAACCCCGGACCCAGGGGCGTGCCCCCGGACCCCGACTAGTCGTCGAATCGGCTTCTAATTCGATCTTATATATGTGTGCACTCTGCACAACCCTGTATATATATTATAGTACAAATTATGAAGTCCCTTAGCTCACATGTTAGTTTCAATTACTTCAAATGATATGGTGATACTAAAATCACCAACATTACCCCTCATCGCGACTGAACACGAGTCACTTGTAGCTGATTCCTTGAAGTGGATAAGCTCGAAGACATTGTTCTTGAGCATGGAAAGAGTCAATGGAAAGGATTTGAATTTTCATAAAAGGATAAGAAACACTTAAATCATGGTTCAACTGAGAATTTCAATTAATAAGGATTATTGAACAACTCACTTCTTTGACACGTCAGTATCCCACGTAAACTTATTGGATACATCAGCATATCACATAAGCATTATAACCGGTAAACCGTCTAATTTTTTAGATAATTGTGTAATTAAAAGGTAAAAATGAAGTTTAGTGATCTAATATACAAAAAAAAATTAGTAACCAACTTAGTTAAATGTCAAAACTTTCATATGTTACAGTATCATTTTCCCACTATCAAAATATTCTTTCAAAGTTTTTACAAAGCTCAAATTAGAACATTTTCATTTTTTGTCTCTAAAGTTCCAAGTTTGAGACTTTTGACCCATAAGTTTTCTAAATTCACAAGATTTAAGACATAACAAACAAGTATCATAACCGAAAAGTATTCAAACGTAGGAAACTTTTACATGTGTAAAATTTTCATATAGACATAAATTTTCATGATCCACTTGACTAAATGAAATACATCAAAATACATCAGTCTCATTAAATTTAAATATCCCCATTTTCCTCTATACTATCTACTATTCTATACAACCCTGTAACCCAACAATAAAACAATTAACTTTCTCAACCATCAAAGTTGTTTCTTGTCCATAAAAACCGGAAACTTTAGATAAATTGTTAAAATATAAATGCCAAAAAAAATATACATATATCCGCGCTTCATTTTTTTTTTTTTTTTTCAAAATATAGTGATTCTTTTGTACCTTAAAAAGGTGATTTGTTTGAAAATACAAGGACCGAAAGTTAATTGTTAAAAAATAGAGGGGCATAAGCGAAAAGTTCTAACTCACGGCCGCAGCCAAAGTGGAAAGCATAATTAAGGATGAGATTCCAATTGTTATCCAACTCATAAATGCCAAAGCAACCGCCAATTGGTATTTTTGGCATTCCACAAAACCACAACTTCCCAAATCATTAAAATACAACACGGTTATTCCTGCAGATGAAGAAGCAGCTGCAAGGCTCAACATTGAAATAACCTAACACCAATTTTAAGTACAACATGTTAAAAAAAATATAGGATTAATAATACAACTAAATGCAAGAAATATTTATACTTCTGTTTATTTCTTTATTTTAGCATCTTATTATTATTCCATAACATTGTACTACTTTCAATGTTTTTTTAGACTATGTTTATTGGCAACGTAACAACCAATCCCAATTTCACAAACAAAACAAAAAATAAGTTATTTAAAAAATGAAAAGTGACAAGAAAATAGCAAATTGAGTTAGGAACAATTTAATCTAGTCAAAAAATTTATCCAATTATAGCATTGTAGATTCGATTTTTTTTCTTATTATGACATATTTCAAAGTATAATGTTGTGATAGGAAAAAACGAATGAAGGATGCTATAGTAAATCAATCAATGGAATTACATTACTATTTCTTGAATGTATCCCAAAAATAAATACCCAAAAGGGATTTTATTATGAATACTGACCCAGTCTCCAACAACGAAGAGGCTCAGTAAACCGGGATTATGGAGGACTTTCTTCTTTGCCAAGGCACATGCATCTAGGAATGCAAGTCCAAAGCTCCAAATCACTTGCAATCCCATTGAAGCAATTAAGTAGCTGAAATAGTTAAGTAATTCCACATTTAAACTCAAGAAAGCCCATATTACATGAAAATTTAATAACATTATATATGATCAACATTAAGCGGATGTTTGGATATTACTTTTTCAAAATTGTTATTGTGAGTTCAAGATTCATAATCAAAATTAGATGATCATTTGATTAAAGTTAGCATTGTACTACAATGGGCATGTACTTGACTAGGACGAAGACAAATGTAAACCGGACAGACATTGATATTTTAAATATCAAAACGGATAAAAGATTTTGTAAAATTTTCACCAAACGTTTCATAGTTGGATTTGCTATAGAATATATACAAAAATATCTAGCCATGTTTGTGAATTGTGATTCATTTTTTTTAGAATCTTTATAAATTGCACGGTGAAGCATTAAATTTGACACGATATCGATATATGCAAGAAATAGCATAGCAACACACTTTTATATATTATGTATTAAGCATCCTACTTTCATTTATGTCTATTATAGTCTTGTACTTTCAAAGTTTTTATGTATTATTATTATTATTTAGGAATTGTACTTTGAAAATTCTACCTATATTTATATCATTGTACATTCAACTCTTTTCTTATTAACATATCATACTTCGAAAATTTTACACCACTAGCATTGAATATTGCATGATATTGCTATAATTCATAGATTTTTTTAGAGCTACATAAAATAAGTAAGATGATACAACTATCCTTATATTTTGACCTTTATGTTTAATGAAGCAAGTATATTGATCTCAGCATTATCAAAAGGGTAAAACCCGACCCATGTTATTGATGCAATACGTTGCCAGATATGGTATTAAAGCACCATAAAACGGGTATTAATATTAGCCCTAATTCATGGATTTTCTTTTTAAATTCGTTGACTACGTATTACGAGAAATGGGAAAGAAAGGATATACCTGAAGGAAGTGAAACTGAAGAAGGATTTAGTGGAAGCCATTGAAGCAATTGAAGCAGCAGCAAACAGACACTGCAACAATCTCAAAATCAGAGCAGTCACTGTTCCAGGTGTTCCTGCGAAATTCCTCATCTTCGTTTCCCCTTCTTGTAAACCTCAAATTGAAAGAAGAACGACAATTAATTCCATGAAATGATAATCCATTACAAAAGAGGTATATGGGTTTTGATTCGATAGTTTCTTAATTTGGAGGAAGAGTAAAGAGGATGACTAGAAAGGAGGCTCAAGTAAGGAAAAAGAATTGGAGGTGGGGGATGCAGGGCAGGTGGAAACAATGATAGAAAGACCAAAACACAATTATTGCAATCCCATTTAAACTTCGATTAATAATAATATAATACCCTTTTGACCTTTTCCATTAATATAAGAACTCGTATCCATTTGATTTTATATTTTTTTTTATCCTAAGAATTATAACCAAAAATAAGTAAATATTTGAACGGTTTTCTAAATTATTTTATCAGAAATAATAGATATTTTACTAATTTCATATTCATATTTAATTTGTTATTGGTATAATCGTAAAAATTGTGATTAAAAGTAAGATGTGATATAATGGTAAAAGTTGGAAGTAGGATGATATGATGGAAAAAAAAAAAATAGTATGATATTTTCTAAGTTATAGTGTGACGTTATAATTTGAGAATACTAATGGACAATATGTTGGGAAAAAATATGATGATATTTTCTAAGTTATAGTGTGATGTTATAATTTGAGAATACTAATCGACAATTTATGTATCTGTCAATCCATCTATGTAACATAATAATTAAAATCATAGTTAAGAAGTTTGATATTTGTACCAGGTGTGAGATTTGTGTTCTATACGGATGGATAAAAAAGAGTTAAATACGAATACGTAAATAGCAAACCACATTTATCATTTCTACGTTACTGCAGGGAATGGATTCATAATCTACTCTATAAATATTAATAATACAAATAAAAGCTGTATACATGCCTTGTAATATGTATACATCATTCTAAATTTTGAGATCAAATAAATTTATTCGAATTGGTAATTTTATAATAACGTAAATACTAATTAACTATATTATGAAATAAAAACATCGATGAGTTGCATATCTTACAAGGAGGATGTAAGCATAATAATTAATAGCCCATTTAGTTATTAACCAACATCTTTACATGCACATAAAGAACTAATGGGATAATGTCTAATTATATCAAATAACAACACTAGGAGTATCAAATTATGAAAGCATTTGGACCCAATCGATATTTCAATCTTGGTGCTCCTGTCACTTATTTTGATCAATGTAAGCATATGATTCATGTATTTTAGAATAATTTAAACCATACTACAAATTATCGGAATATTGTTTTCTTATGCATTTCATCAAGCAAGTGATAGGCAAAAAAAGATTTCCAAATTAATAGACATACATATACATCTATAACAACAAATTGAGCAACCATAACTACACATTAGAGTAGTTAGTACTTTAAAATAGAATGGAAAATTTTTGTTTCTCTATTGGATACCTTTCTTTATTTATAGAAATATTAGAGATCATAAAATAAAAACCATGAATATGTAAAATAAGAAAAGAAATGTGTACACATACATATGTACACATGACATACATATGTACACATTACTATTATACTCCTATAAAAAATTAAATTTGTATTATTTAAGAAGTCAATCATATTTTAGAGATTCTATTTTCTAAGATAAACCATTTAAATTTTTAAGAATATGATTTTTGATATAAATCAAATTCAAAAATTGTTTTTCTGGTTTTTGGGAATAATTTTCCTAGAATTTACTTATTACTATTTAACCATTTAATGGTAGTTTTCTATTCAATGCACATTCCAAATTTATCTAACTACAAATCGTAATTTTTTTTATAGATGTTCTCAGATATGCAAATAAATATTTTTCAAATTGATTGATTATGTTATTATTAAATCAATAGACTTTAAGGTTCTAATTAGCGTGAGGTGTGACGTAACAAAATGTCAAGTCTCAAGTTTTATTAGTCGTGACGATCCATGATATTTGTTAAACCGTAACATAAGATGACATTTTATGTGTGTGTGTCTGTCTGTCTATATATATATATATATATATATATATATATATATATATATATATATATATATATATATATATATATATATATATAAAGTTGGATCAAGTGGGGACTCAAAAATAAATGAAAACTACAAGGACAAATCTTTGTCGCGTGATTGAAAAGATAATATCTGGAGATTTGATTTGATTTACCGTCAATATCTCGCGAGATGATATGATGTTTTTGTAATTATATACGAGATTTTAATATTTTCTGACAAAGGTTAATGGTTTTGATGCTAATAGGTAACAAAAACAAAAAAAAAACCAAAAAAAAAAAAAAAAAAAAAACCAAAAAAACAAAAAAAAAAAACACACACCAAAGTTCTTAAAATTTAATTTTGTACAAAATGAGCACAATCATGAAATTTTGAAAAAAAAAAAATACCTTTATATTTTTTTATTAAAAAACTCGGAAAAAATAATTCTCCAAAAATCATAAATGTTTAAGGGATACTTCTAATCAATGTACTAGTGACTTTGTAAAAAAAATTCAAAAATAAGTTTTTGAAGTATTTATTTTTAATTTTAAGAAATATTAATGTAAAAAAACTATTGAACATAATATGATGATTCAAAATATTTATGATTCAAAAGAAAAAAAAATTAATTCAACTTGTTTATGATCCTTAATTTTATGTCTAAAAATAATTAAACTCAAATATTTTATAATGCTTAGTTATATTTTTTATGATTCAAAATTAAATGATTCAAAATATATAATAATACATAATTTTTTATGAACAAAAACTTTATTTAATTAAATATATTATTGATCCAAAATCATATTATTCAAAAATGATTTGATTTAACACAATTTAACTCAAAATTTTATGATCCAAAAACAATATGGTTTAAAAAAAATATGAACGAAAAATATTTTGTTCCTTAATATTCTTCATATTTAAAATTTTATAGTTGTTAAACACTAAGAACTCAAACCGATATTTAGTTAAAAAAAAAATTAAAAACAAAAAAAAAAAACAATAAATTAAAAATAAATAAAAAACAATAAACAAAAACACTAGTATCTTCAAGTATGTAGTAAAGATATTACAAAATAAAAAATTTTAAAAAGAAAAAAGATTTTTTTTACAATGTTGAAAAAAAGAGAAAAACGTTAAAACCAAGCATAGATCTGTTATTTATTTATTATTTTTAAATTAAAAAATTAAAAAACAAAAATAAATAATAAGACCCAATTAAATGTGAAACACCCCAAAAACAAGGTCCAAAAATTTCGTTTTGAGAGATTATTATAAAACCGTAAGTCATCCATAACCATAAAGAAAAACCATACATCATGTATCTCAAAACGTCCAATCAAGTACCGTGACAAAACATATGATAAAATATAAGAGTATCATAGCAATCCCCAGGCTTGAATGTTGTGGTGTGTATCATGCGATCACCCCGAGCCCTTCCTTTTGCTCACGGTGGTACCTGAAACCAAAACTGAAACTGTAAGCACGAATCTTAGTGTGTCTCCCCAAACTACCACATACCATACAAATATCATGCAACTAGGAGATATGCCCCTCCCCCCCCAACTCTCATGAAAATTTGGGCCCCACCTACACTCCACTGTCTAGGAGATTCGGGCCCCACCCACACTCTGCTATCTAGGAGATTCGGGCCCCGCCCACACTCCGTTGTCTAGGAGATTCGGGCCCTGCCCATATTCTGCTACTAATATGAACACAAGTATCACACAAACAATAGGTATATCTAACATACAATCATATATCTATGCTCAAGTAATACTAAAAGAATCGGGCCCCGCCCATACTAGACTGCTAAGAGATTCGGACCCCGCCCATACTAAACTACTAACATATCATGTAGACGGGTCGACCTTGGTGCCTTTAACCCATCCCTACTTAAAGGAAACTCACCTCGTATGAATGACTGCTAAGAATCTGGGTGAGAAATCCCTATCTAATGCATTGGGTGACTCTCCAACTATAAATTCCATAATAATACTTAGTCAAAAGCTGATAACTATTCTTAGGATAAAATGACCATTTTACCCCTAGTCAAATTCAACATCCTGGTCAAAGTCAACCTTCCAGGTTGACCAAACTCGCCGAGTCATCCTTGTGACTCACCAAGTCCTAGAACTCAAAATCCTGGAATCGCGACTCGACTCACCGAGTCACCCCATGACTCGTCGAGTTCCCAAGCTACTTGTCATTGCGATTTATCGAACTAACTCATTGAGTCATCCTCAGACTCGCCGAGTCCTGGCATAATCAGAAAAGGGACAAGATCCTCCTACTCGTCTAGTTCCCTAATCAACTCGCCGAGTCCTATGAACATCATCAAGGTTTCTTCATCGGACTCACTGAATTCCCTTATGAACTCGTCGAGTCCCTTGCAGATTTGACCAAGTTAACTGGTTTCACACTTCTACAGCTCTAAAATATAGATCTAGGTCGTTTCCAATGTCCATTTCTATAAAGTTGGAGACTTGATGGCTTTGCACACCTTAAATGTACCCAAACTCAAGTCATAGCAGTCTACTTCCATGAACATGACCATGGCTTTGATGAAAACGAGTTCAAGAATCCTTTTATGACTCTTGAGGCTAAATATCTTAGGAAAGAGGGATTTCTTAGCATGCAACCCATGAGAAGCAACTTATCCCACTAAAAAAAGGTCAAAAATACCCATAAATCAACATTACAGGAGATCTAAGCTATGGGCAAGCACCGAACAACACTCTAACAGGGCCACATATTATCCGTGAAAACAATAGAGAAAATAATTCAAATCAGAACTCGACTTCAAGCATCGCGAGACCGATAGAAGAGTTATGCTGGCAAGCGGCGAAATCCCTTAGAATTTCAAGTCGGGGATTGAATGCTATTGAAAGTCTCTCCCTAGAAAGAGATGATTCGTTTCGGGAAACGGGGGAAACTAAGCCCATGATACATTGGACCATTCGAGATTCTTGCCTGAATCGGTCCTGTGGCTTATAGGCTGCAACTACCTGCGGAGTTCAGCAACATACACCCCGTGTTCCATGTTTCAAATTTGAAGAAATGCTTATCCGATGAAACTCTCGTCATTCCATTAAAAGAAATCGAAATCAACGAGAATCTCATTTTCATTGAAGAACCAGTTGAAATCATGGACAGGGAAGTGAAGCCTACTAAACAAAGTCGCATTCCGATTGTGAAGGTTCGATGGAACGCAAAGCGTGG